GTTGTAGGCAAATTCTTACTCGACGAATTAGTGAAGCGTGAACCGAAACTGTGTTCGAATTTTTAACTGCTTCGAATGTCTGATATTACCTTTTAATTGGTCCCGTTTTTGACTATTTTGGGCATAAACTATTTCTTTCACGTGACTCCATAAATAAAAATCTAAAGGAGTAAGATCTGGCGATCTCGGGGGTACGGTAACAGTTTCACTTCGTCAAAATGGTAATTACACAATAGTTGATCTAACAACTGTTATAGGTATACCAATCCGAAATTGATTCTATGTAAGAAAGTTTTGGTTCGCACACTAAAGGGCAAAATGTTTCTCACTCTGGGCGAGGTTTTAGCAATAATGTCTATATAAATTCGAAAACGAATAAAGCGATTTGACATTGCGCGGATTCCTCAGAACAGAAATTCTATGGAACGATAATGAAATTGAAAACGTGCTGGTAGTCGATACGTTTTCCAGTTCGCGTTTGTTCGAGCGTTTGCCCGGAATTATCTCGGAGGTCGTTTACACGCTCGTCTAACCGCGAATCCTCCGTACGAACACGCGAGGTAGGTTAGGGGTCCCGGGTACGGGATACGGCATAATGCGAGCGCATGGCTTTGTTCCGAGTTACGGGCGTTTGAAAAGTTTCGCAGAAGTTCCTTCGCTACGCTCGATCGAGAATATTGTTCCCATGATTCGCATTCCTTGCATTGTTCCCCGCATGCGACGAGATTTTCCGTCACGATAAAACGTCTTTTAGTGATTAATTATTCGGTTACAATTAGCCGCTAACTTTCCTACCATTCTATTTACACTTTTGTTCTTGTATATCAACAGATATGTATGTGTGTGCATTTACAAGCTAGCTATACAAGGTGAATCAGTAAGAACTATTGTTCACTGATTTCATCATTTGCTGAATTACATGAATATTAATTAATATGGATGAAGATCGTTATGAATAAATGTATCGTTATGTTTTGATCAAGCTAAATGTATTTCTGCGAGTTGTATGGTAATGTTAATAATCACTGGATAATTTTAATTAAATGATATTTCTTAATGATTTGCCCTGTTTCGCGTTCGCGCGGGGCTTCCTTTTACTACGTATCTAGTGTTGTGATGTTTGACCGTGCACGAACTGAAATTACTTTGCTTTATGGCCGGACATTAACCAAGTTTATACTGATTGCATACACTACTTCTGCGTTGTATTTAAGCAAGTTTGTTGTTTTCAACTATTAATGGATTTCCCGCCTCCATATGCTGTTACGTTAAACTAATCGGAAAAAGTTGTAATTGATCATTCACGAAATTTGTGATTCCCGATAACTTGCCAATCGAATTACTAGCTATTTATTCGATAAACTCGATATTCTGAGTAAACTAGAAGTGCCAATTTTCGCATTCACGAAACAGCAGGTAATTGTATACAAAACAATTTAAGGTTTTAAGTATTTTAACCCAATCTATATTTATTTTCACAATACAGCAGTTAATCAAGTAAAAAAATCATAATTTTGGTTGCAAACACGTGTAATGTATTTTAATATGCAAATTAGACAAGCATTATAAAAACTGTAATTAAACTGTTATATTTATTGCATATATTATAGAAAATAATAATTAATATCAATGCTATCTTGATGCACGTTGTTAACACAAATTGTTAAACACATAATTATAAATTAACGTAAACGACACAGTGCACACAAAATGCGTGTGAACGATAGTGAATAAACTGGTTGGGCACGTTTTACCATCACTAACACAGTGAATTAATTTAAGCGATATTTCCGCAAGTACTGCCGTTAAAGATATGCAAAGTGCGCCAGCGGAAGTCTTAACTATTCATCGACACCGCTTAAGCTTCTCCGGATTCTCTGGATGGCTTGAGGACTTGGCGGCGTCCGCAGCTCTGCCAATTAAACGCTGGCGAATTGAATCGTGTTGCTGATAATAATAAAAACAGGTTCAATTGATTGCAAATTAACAGAAACTATTTTTTGTAACCCACGCACGATTTTCGCTACTTTTCGTACCTATTCTGCGGGTCTAAAGTGACCGTTTTCTGACCAGCGACTGGTCAAATCTAATTTCAAATTTCAAAAAACCCATGTATACCAAATTTGGCATAAATCCGTTGATTTTTGGAAAATCGTCATAAGAATCATCTGTCACAGAGGGTATCAACGATTTTTTTTAAGTAAAATCAAGTTTAAGGTGATTCTATTGATACTCTCTAATTTAATCAGAGGCCAGATCGAACAATTTTCCTCGAAATAAATTAAAAGTATTCTGAAATAT